GTTTAATCCAAATTTTACTATCTTGTTAATAATTTTTTTAAACTTTTTTTTAATTATTTTATAACTAAAAATGTAATGATGGGATATAATTATATTATTTTCTAATTTTTTTCGAGTCTTTTGTTTTGAAACTCAATAACCAACACTATAAAATTAAATTATGAAGTACGTATTAGAGAAATTATATATTTGTTCTCTTAACTCTTTTACTAAATTATCCAAACTATTAGAATTAGTTGTTTCTTAATATTTATGATATTTATGTGTATTCTTTATTTAAGTTTTATAAAGTTTTAAAATTATTTAAGTGTTTTGTTTGATATTAGAAAAGTACAAGATTAATTATACTAATAATTTTAAAATATCATCAAACCCGCATCGGTCGAACCACATTGATCCGGGACCCAAATGTTTCTCCGGTTCGGTTGTCGATCCGATTTTAAAAACATTGCTTAGAAGAAGACATTGCTTAGTAGATGTCTCCACAACAAACTTCCATCAGAATGACGAGCCTAACCAGAGCAATTCTAATACCTCTCTAATCACAGAAAACGGAAAGGACCACAAATAGAGGAAGAAACAGAGATCATAACCTCACCCACACCAGCAAACCGAGGCAAAGATAGAGACAAACCAAGCCACGATTGGCCACCAAACCCTGTTGCCACGACCAATTCCACAACACACCAAACCCACTGTAACACTCGCATTAGGGACTATGAATCCCACCGTAAAATGTTGCCAAATTAGTTATCTCATTACTCTAAAATTTTTTTATTACATTGTGTGGTGAAATTACAATGCGGAAACTCTAAAACTACCATGCCTTGGGAAAGCCTCTACTGCATCTGCCGCATCCTCCTACCTTGCCGCATCCTATGAGCCACCTAACCGGATCTCCTATCCTGCAAGTCTGGTAAGAGGGTGAGTATTGAATACTCAGTAAGACGGTCTACTCCGTCTCACGACCTAACATAACCTATCTACCCTCTACCACACCACTACCACATGATGCCTCGGCACCATGCGTTTACCTACTAGCCAAGTAAGTGCTACTGCACTTCCCTTGGTGCTCATATATACGAGAATCCCAGTCTCTATTATTCAACACAAGACTGAGGAATCCCATTCCTCTTCCCGTCTTGATAAAACCTTATAATTTACATAATATACATATATACGGGAGTCCCGGACTCCACTATTCAACACAAGACGGGGGAAATTCTATTTCCTTCCGACCTTGCCCGAATCTTATATTCTGCCCGTCGACAGAATTTCCACAACATATTCTCCCCCGTAGGGTGAACCTCCATTGACTCCCGGAGCTCTTCCGGTAGTTCTTGTCTACCAGGTCTTCGTGCCACTTTTTCAGGCCAAACACAAACAAGTCGGCGACGAATGCCCATATAAATGCCCCTATGCAATAATGTATATGTGGCCTTGTGAACCTACTATCCTACCGGTTAATATCCACTCTACTCTAGACTCTCCTAAGGTTCACAATAATTCTCTACTCCATTTTCACCTAATCCATTCTTCTATGTTCTCAAACAATAGCCGAAGCATTTCAAACAATACCTTTGCCCCGTATGGTCGGCCCCAGGTAAGCATGGCTATCCCATAACGTTACCCATAACACATGTATGGCCACACAGTAGCCGTCCCTGCAGAAATACACACATAAGATTATCCGTTAATTGTGGATAGCTCATGACACTAACTTGTACTACCGTCCAAGTGATCCCACATCTATCCTCTATCCCCTTGGCCGTAAGTTATCTGCCTTGAGTTCGTCAAACCTTTTTTGACTATTCTCTTACCAGACCTTACTTACAACCATGTATCGGGTTAGCTAAGGTAGTACTAGTATAACCATTTGATTATCCAAATAGCTTCATGCCTGGTTCACAACAATCACTAGTAGACTGTCGAATCTTTCAAACAAGCGAACCATCGGGTAAAACTTACTTCCTTGGAGCGGTAGCTCTACCATAGCTCTATTTCCAAGGTTCAACGATCAGTTAGTCTTTTTACCTTTCGGTTCCTGGACCAACTTTTCATTCAGTCCAAAGTAGCTCCCCTGGTAGGGTATCGCTTAGCCAAGACTCACCTCCTAAACAACCTAATGATATGATTGTGAGTTGATCTCCAACTGTGATCCGCCCATACAAACCACAGCCTTCCTTCAACCCACTAAGCAACGAGTCACTCTTGATCTGCCGAGGCCGATCAAGTTTCCTCGAGACTATGGTTGAATTCCATGCCGGGAGCTCACTGCGCATGTATCCTGTCCCATAGCCCAACGTGAATAAACTAAGTATCCTGTCAAGGTTCCCAACCTTGCCAAGCTCCTTGCCTGCCTTCACCTACGAGTCCTTGGTTGGATTCTCTCTGACCCAACTAGGTGCTCTGCCACTGCACCGTCGGTCAAGCCTTGACTTGCTGGTCCGGTCTTGTGTCTGACGATGTGCCTGCCGATACTCTATCTAGGCATTGATGTGTTGTCGAGTTTTACCTCTCAACTAACTACCTGTAAGTGCACAGCAATCACAATTAGTATAGATAAGGGATCGTATCTACAAGGACTTCTTAACCACACTTCAAATTGTAATGAATAAAATTAAGCTAGAACAAGATATTTTTGTCGTTTTTGTGATTGAGAATATGGTAAACAACGAATGTAAATTGTAATGAAAATCAATAAAAGAAAAGCGCTAGGACTTAGGTAATTCGCAGAGAATCATGCAACAATAAAGATTGATAGATTTTAAGGATTTAGGAATTATGAAATAGAACACAAAGCACTGATTTAAGGTCATCCCACTGTCGTGACGTAACTANCCATCTACGTTTTAGCACCCTAATAGACTCAACTNTC